GCCAAGAATGATATCAAAGCAGAGAGAAACCGTGTTCTTTTCACTGAATCGCAAACTTTGCTTGGTAACGATCGTTATCCCATAGCAAGAAGTGGGCCAAATTCATCTCCTCATGATCACACCAGTTACCCTTCTTGTCGAATGAAACATATCAAAAAGTCAAAGCTATATCGTGTGGAACAATGGCGCTGAGGCGCTGAGATTCAATGGTGAGTGGAACTTCTTCTCTAAGGCCTCTTCTTTTGTCCAGTCCGATCACCCAGCTTACGCCACGCCTCATTCTTTACTTTTACCAAGTAGTTAGGTAGTGTAGATATGAAGGAGAGGAAGAGGGGGCATTGCTTTTACCTAACGTTGAAAGCTAGAGTGCGAAGGAGGGTAGCCGACTTGACCTGTACTTAAAACGGCTTTAGACGAAAGAATATGGTTTCACGCTCAGCCTTAGTAGGGGATGAGCGGCAGGGTGTGGGAGGGATACGGTGTAAAAAGCTAGGATGGGGTATGAGTTGAATGTTCAAGTGACTCACCCACATCAGTACCCCTTCCCTCCTAAAGCTCAAATCAAAAAAATGTGTGTTTGCGGCTAAGAAATATCAATGAGCACAATTGAGGGCTAACCTCCTCATCTGCGCTCTAGTGCTCAATTATGAAAAAAACGGAGGTCTCCCAACTACATAGCCATTTGATTTTTGTGAAGACATACATACCATGATGCCGGTAAAGATCGAATTCACACTTTTGAAATACCCACTTCACTCCACATCACTCACTTCACTACGTAGTACTCACTCTACTCCATCACCTTCCTACTCAGCAAATTACTGCCTTATATAAAAGAAGGCAGTGTAGAACAGGGCAAGGTTTCCCATATCATTGCCTCTATCGTAATTATAAGTTTTGCGGACGGACAGACCGACACACCGACACAACGACACACCAAGTTTCTGCTTAATAATAAGAGAGACTAGCAAAGTTGGAAGGCGACCTTTCCAGTGTCATTGAGTAGCCAGATGTCATGGCGTAGATTGAGTGTTAGTAGACAGTAATTCTTCACTAGTCACTTATAATCTAGTTTATTCGCATTCTACCCCTCTTGATTTTTGTCTGATATTGAAGGAATAGGGGATGAAAACTTCTGGTACTAGTCGTTCCCATTTTTGGGATGGGCCTCACTACTTGACATCCTTTCAGAACAGAATTGATGGCTCAAATACCTATTGAACAACTTGCGGGGCCGGTCAGTGTTCAAGGCAGGCAGCATTCACAAGATAGTGACGGGCGGGACTGGAGATAGGGAGAAGAAGTCCTATCTGGACCAAACTGTTGGGCACTCTGCTCAACTCTCCTATGATACTATTATTTTCATAGCGGTGTTTTCAAAACAAACTTTATTTATTTTCGAAAACGGATGCTTCAGAAATTCAACACACTAGCAATTATTGTCGTTGAAAACACGACGGTCATCGTCAATGGCATCGAATTAAAAGCTGATTTGCTAAAAATATTCTTAATGTCGAAGCCCTTCTTCGCGGTCGTCGTTGTGGCTTGATCCGTTGCTCCCGCCTCAGCTCCTGCCTCAGATGGCGCTTCAGATGCACTGAAATTAAGAGTGTGAATGATACATGCAATTGTCAACTTCCTGGAACCGCTTTTACAGTCGCCAAAAACCACTCGAAGTCCTTTATTCACTGGTGCCTAATCGCCCTCACAACGATGACCAACACTTGACTTTGGAGTAAGAAATGGATTAGATAGGGAATGAAACCAGACTCTTTGTCAGATCTATTTTGCTGCTCGTTAACAAGTGTGAAATATTTTTGACTGGAGTCATTCCGAGTCAGAACTATCCCACCGAATCATCAAAGGGCCGTCAACTTCTAGTAAGTAATAAACAAAATGATCGCAAGTGCTTTGAATGTATCCCATCTATCTACCCTTGCGCATTTACTTCGAAAGCACAGTTGACGATAATTCAGGGGCCTCCTTTCTAGACGAATAATGGAAGCGATAATCTAGAATAGAGCATAAATTTTGAAGAAAATGCGAGTATCGGCGTATTTACATAGATAAATATAATGCTTGAAAAAGCAGTAAAATTGGAAGTTATGCGAGAATATGGCGGCAGGACTTGCATGGGAGGGGCGTTTGGACGAGTTATTCTAATAGGCGTGCCATTGCGTATAGTTCTACGGTAAATTACTTACGTTCAATGTGGACGTCCCGGTGCGATTGGTGCAATCGCTGCAGCATCTACAAAGCCGTGAGAACTCGTACGTCAATGGGTGTGAACATCGATCGACACGGTTTCATGGCCTTTATTCCGCTAGGTATTGTCGTGGTGGAAATCATTATTGATCATCTTCATATTATAGTAGGGAAGCTGACAGTTCATATATTACTATGAGGTCTAACTTCTCGCTGACATCCCATTTGCTACTCATCAAGAAAATATTGGACCCACGTTAAAAGTTAAAAAGCTATCCAGTGAAGCGGCAGAAGGAGATTTGAAAGGGAAAAAAGCAACAGTTCGTTCCTCCCCTTCAGTAGAGACAGGAAAAAGCATCCCTCAACCAGCGAGAGCCCAGTGACCTATGGGGCAAAGATATCTTTCGAGGGGCAATGTAGGGCACAACACACATTTTCACCTCGATCTTTTCAGGGGTGATGTTTTCCGCACATTTCGACTGAGTTTCACCGGGAACTGTTAACCGCATCCACGCGTCAAATTCAGGCAACGAGTTCCTTGACAATAATTGATGACGACAACTCATCGCGGAAGCTTTGAACAAAAAGAGCGATTCACCTCGTGCCTCACCAACAACTGAAATCCATTGTCTTCCGTTAAAGAGTAGTGCTATTGCCTACTGGTGGCCGCCAAGCAAATCAATGATCAGCGGACTGGAAGGTCGGATTTAGTCGGCTCGGCTGAATTGAATTCCATCCCTTCAAAGCGGGTGTCTTCGGCATCTGCCGAAGCGGTGAAAGGCTCGATGTTCGTATTCCGCAGAAAGTAATCAACAAGAATTTATTGGTGATTCAGCCCCGACCCTTCGCTGCTGTTTGCCCAACAGTTCGTTGAAGGCAACTACTACAACATTTTATTTGGACGCGAAGCTAAAATAGGTTCAGATCTACCAACAAGCCTCCCTGCCTGTTGCTCCAGCTTTTGCTACAGTGTCATTCACCACCACCATTTCAATTTGCCTCTTTACGAGCCTGGAATTTATTTTGACTAAAACTACTCTTGGAGCGAAGCATCCCTTTTTGTAAATCATCCAAAAACATTGTCCTTCAGGAGAAAGGCAGCCCTAGTGTTTTTATCATAAGTAGGCTTTTCGAAACTTATTGTTAGTCATAAGAATGATGGGATGGGTATATGTAGACAAGACCCGTCCTCAACTTGCTCCTGAGAACGAGTGCCCTTCTTTTGGTGTTGCCCACAAACTCAGCTACTGCACTGAAGTTGAAGTTTTGCTCGAATGGTTTGAGTAAGGCACGAAATGGTAAATTGTTGGCACGAAATTGGAAAATATCGGGATTCGGGAATGTTCTTTATAAGAGAGAGAGAAGGAGGCGTGGCCGCTACAAAAATACGGATGTACTCGGGCTAGGCTAGGTTACAGCGATTACTCAGGCTACAACAATGTAAAATGGCATTTACCAAAAGTCCACTTTGAACGAAAAGCTGGAAAGAATTTCGAACTCACTCAGAAGAATGTGCGCCCTCTGATTCACCAGCGCTACTTGCCGCATCACCACCACCACCTGTAATGTTCGGTTTTCTCGTGAGTCTCGTCAATTTATCTATACTGGAAACATTATTTTGCCTCGAGATTGTTGACTGAATCCAGTGCATAGCCATTCGGCCCTAACTTTCTAGTGCCACTCTCGAGGACATGGGTCATTCGGAGCGGGAAGGCGTAAGAGCGGACCTCCTTGGCCATTACTACTTACATTACTCTACTCTAATCTCTGCTTTGCGAACGACATCGTGCTTACAACATGAACATCGAGCGTTCGGAACGAATGCTTGTCGACAGCATTGAGGAAAGATCTGATTTCAAGGCGATGCTCTTGAGAAACAGATTGGTATGTGTCGCTCGCTTCATGCCAAACGGAACGAATATCTGAATGTTCTAGTAGGCGCATCTAGGTCTAGGCGTCTATCTATAAGTCAATATAATAAATGAATTAGCTCCGGAGCTATGCAGAAATAAACGCGCCGCAAGAGGAGCATTCAAAGATATCAAGGGAGCAGTGGAGAAGACAAAAAACACCCGGCTCTACGCTCACCTTCTCGATAATGCGGTCGTTTCTGCTTTGACGTACGCGTCAGAGGTTTGCATTTCACGGAAGAGGGATGAACATGTTCTTGACGTCGCTCAAAGCGCTTTGGTGTTTTCAATGCTGGAGTTCCCCTATACATGTAAGAACAGAAGGAAATCCGAAGTCCCGAGCTCCCTCATCGAATGAAGATCTGGAACGCTGCTGCTCGCGCCGAAGAATCGAAGATCCGATGGGGTGGGCTCGTCATGCGATACTGCGCTGACGGTTGGACCAGTGAGCTTACTGAGTGGAACTACCAGAACGTCGAACGAACACTAGGACGGACGCCAGCGCGGTGGTCAGACTCCTCTATGGAAGCTTTGGACGGAAGAAATGCTATGCCTCGCGCTCCTTGAACGAGGACGAACCATTGCATTACTCTGGCTCGCGACAGAAACGGATGAAGAAGGTAGTGGTGTCCGCTCCAGGAAGTCGATGATAGTACAGATGAATGTTAATACCATAGTAGCACCATATATTTTTGTTATTTTGGGTCTACCAGATTTTTTTCGGGGTCAACAAGTGTTGTTTGCCGCTTTGACCTCTTCTTTGCTCTCCTTGTACACATGAATTTGATGAAATTGCTATCACTTCTTTCACTCTCGTTTACCTTCCAAAGGGACGATGACAGCTTCATGCGTAAACTCCTTATCAAGTTTTTTGAAATCGTCCAAGGACGAATTCGGGTCGTTGCATCGATCCTTAGTTGAACAGGCACAGATTAATTGATAATATGCTCTGAAAAACACGACTATATATTGTGAAGACATCTTCATACTTATTTCTATGTAATTTCGACTATCACTTTCATCAAATTTTCTAGCTGTAAGAAGCTCCCTTACATAACGAGGCTCTGAAAGGACCATCACGCGGCTTATGAGGAAGCAGTGTCAAATTAGGCTAATTCCTATATTTTGCTTATCTTTCCTTCACACCAAGGGCCAATAGAACGCCACTGAGTGGAACCTTATGGCGAGAATGGATAGCTCTACTGGCTTCTTAATCTTGCTGCACACAGGAGCTACTCGAATGCGCCACTTCGTAGATACATCTCAAGCAGAATCCAATACGTTTTCTTCTATTAGCTATCTTTTCGTTTTTTTTCGCCTTTTGTGACACATTAATCGTGTCTCAACCTCGGCAGTCTAAACTTGTAAATGCAGGGTATTCAGACAGTGCCTACAGTAGCGCTCGAAGTCTCGACCAAATGCTTCTTCAGCCGTACTTTTCCGGAGTAACTCCTCTTCTACTGGATTTAATCATGCGACATTCCGTTATGTGTAGCGTGGGTGCATAGTGAATATTTACCACTATTAAACTGCGAACTGGTCATGTTCCAGATATCCTAAAGGGCTCGAAATCAAAATCAACTGGAACACGGATGATGGCCCTTCTAGATTTTCTTTCCTTTGTGCCACATTTAAAGGGGAGCTAAAGCCGAACACAGTAGAAAAGAGAATTGCACATTATATGCGAATAACTGCAGACGTTATTAACTTTGCTTTTATTGAGTCTGCTACTGCAACAAGCACCTTGCTCTTAGTTATGCATACATGTGATTGCTGGCAAATAATGTTGGGTAGTAGGAAATATGGTTCAGTTGGAATATCGAAAATTCGCGCTATTTACTCCACCAAAAAAAAGTTATGAACGAAAAGCGTGAGAGCGTTTGGCCGAAGACTTTTGAGCTACTGTAAGTGATCTGAGATTACATATAGAGGTGGTTTTGCTAGGTTTCTGGAGAACTTTGCATAAATAAATGTATTAAGTACTCGTGGCACACAGCAGGTCCTTCTGGGACTGGTCCATGGTTCATACAATCGGCGACGATTGTAGCGTTGTTACGTGTGCTCTTCGCTGAAAATATGCATTTTGAAAATAAACCTGTGCTGAATCTTTATTTTTTATGTTCGTTTTCATAAGAGATAGAGTAACTGTTGCATCCTTTCTGAAAAGAAATGCGCAGCTACAGATACCTCTCCCATTTTATTTGTTTCGGATGGCCTTATTTTGGTTTACAAAAAA